TTGTCGCAGGAGTGGCGGCAGGTGCAGTTGCGACAGGTGGTGCTTGGCCAGCGGAGTTCGCGAGTTTGTTGCATGTGATTTTGCAATAGGAGGAGTTTGGTTCCGGTGAATAAAAACCATGTTTTGCGAACATAGGAGTTCGGCCAGAGGAGTTCGCAGGTTTGTCGCAAGAGTTGCGACAGGTGGAGTTTGCGGGTTTTTCGCAGGAGAAATTGCGACATGTGGAGTTAGCGAATTTCACCGATTGTTCGCAGGTTTGTCGCAAGAGAAATTGTGACAGGTGGAGTTCGTCTGATATCCACACTATTTCAGCCGAATTTTTGTGCGAATAGAAAATGTGTTTCGTGTGAAAAAATTTGATTCACGAATCACTGGAAACTGCGGGAAATTGCTGCAAACTGACAGAGGAAATTTCAGGTTTATTTAAATTTATTTGTGATGTGTGTTTTGTTTCATACAAGGCAGGTAAAATTCGCTGCAGGATTAAATTCAAATGACGATGTCTGATGCAAAATTGGAGATAGTGAAATTTGGCGGAACAGATAACTTCAGATTGTTGCAAACAAAGATGAAATATTTGTTGGCACAACGAATTTTTTAAGGTATTAAAGACTATGAAACCTGATGATAATATCTATCAGCTGTTGGGGAGTACAGTTATAAGTGGAGTGCACTCTGTCGGATCAAATGATGAAAATGTAGCAGGTATGTTGACCAAAGCCAGATATTTTCAACAAGTCCTTGGGTGACTTGAACTTGTTGAATGTTAGCAGTTCCTAATTGGCATGGTTGCCCAACCCACTACGGTGTAAAAAACTCCATGATGTATTTTCTCCTAAGGGGCTGGATATTCGCCAAGGTGGAGAATCGCCAAGGTGGAGAATTAAGAATTATTAGGTATGACTCATATGCCAGAAATTTGGAGTCTCTTGAAATTGGAGAGGTGTGTCTTCTGGAATGAAGAGGCGTATCTCTTCGTGTGAAGATGCGTCTCTTGGATTAGTGGGTTAGGGGAAGCGAGGGCGTGTTGGTAATTTATCTATAAATAAATGTGTAACCCTATGGGTATGTAACTCTTCTGAAATAGTGAATTCGCTGCTCTGCTCCCGAGGAAGTAGGCACATTGCCGAACCTCGTTAAATCTCTGTGTTCTTCTTCTGGTTTTGTGTCGATTCATATATTATTTTCGCCCTAAATTTCACAACAAGCTCAAGAACCCGTATCCACTCCAGATGCGATTCTTAAGGCTTCGGTTTCGGTTTCGGTTTTGTTATTGAATAGTGGGATTGATTGCAGTAAACCTCTATCCTTTCCATCGCGGATGATTACACTAGTTCTCTCTTGTCCTTGAAAGAAAAACAAAGGTTAAAAAATATGGCAAATTAATGTCAGCTACTCTTAGTGAAGGATATGGACAAAGAGGAGAAATCTGAGGCCTTCATTGAACTCAAGTGACGATAAAAGAGGAACAACAACAATTCAAGCTTCTTGACGGAATCTGTACAGGCTTACTGGGGATTGGTCTGGATAACGTAATAAAGGCTTACTGGGGATTGGTCTGGATAACGTAGTAAAGGCTTACTGGGAATCAGAGAATACACAAAGCCCCAAACCCCCGTTTCTATGCTCTCACAATTATGGAAGAACCCATTCTTTTTGTCGCTTTCGCCTGTCTCCTCATTTTATTCTTGACAAATGGTCCATAAAAACTGGCTGACGCATATTTAGCTTCTTTTAGCGACATTAAGCAATATCTTCCTTTGAACCTTTAAAGTAAGAATTATTGTGCGTTAAAAAATTAAAATTTCAAAAATTTATGAGGCACAATCAATGTCGATCTTCTTTTGAAGCTACGAGCAAAGTAAATTCCTCTCAATGATAATTTCAACCTTTTATGAAGTTTGGCACAATGATTAGAAAAAAAAATAGCAAATAATACAGCTTCAAAGCCTTCCAAATTGCTCAAAAATTGCTTTGTAGGACTCCGAAAATAACAAAATCAAGTTCATAATATCAAAAAATAATCCAAAGGACTCTAAAAAAGCCAGAATACACCTATCCAGGCATGAAAATGGGACATGCACAGCGAGCCTACCAAATTTCCGACAGCCACCAAAACCCAAAGTAGCACATGAGTAATGTATTTTTTTAAACATTACAATGTCTTTTAATAAAAAAATCAACAATAATTTTAAGGGCCGTCAATTGCTAAAAACCTGAAAAATGCTAAACTATTTTTTAATCCAAGATAAATGAAAATTACAAGAAAAAATTTCAGTGCCTCTTTATTTCCCGCGCCTATAAATACCATTGTGAACAAGGAAAAACTCACACCAAGATTTGCAAATCGT